TATATATATATATATATATATATAAACAAAACGGAATAAAAACCTATCGTCGGAAAAATAAATCGTCGGAAAAAATGGTGTTCGTGAAATCTCGACGACCACCATTTTATGCCATCGGTGACCAAAACAAAAAGAAAGAGAATGAAATAACCAAAAAAATAAGAATAATAATAAAATAAGAAAAAGAAGAAAGAATAAAAAAAATACTAAAAATACATGTGGGGCGCGTGTAGTTCACCACTTGCCAAGAATTTGGTTACCTAATTTTAGGGTGGTATTTATTCCATTTAAAAAAAGTTGTTTTTTTTTGGGGTGGGGGGGGGTAGGTAATAGGATTCCTGCAAAGATAAAGTGTGTAGTTAGGAATCCGGGTATAGGTCAGGGGGTGCTTATGTATTTTTTCAAATATTAAATATATGAAAATATTATAAAAATAATAAATAAAATAATATTAAGTTATTTTATTTATAAATAAAATATATTATACAGTATATAATATAGAAGGTATTACATAAATATGAAGGTTTATATAATATCAAGGGCATAATAGACTTTTCAAGTAAAAATGTGACTTTTGTGATAACTAGAGCAAAATAAAATGATTTTTGTGTAACAAAAGAAAGAAAAGTAACTTTTGTGTAATGAACACAAAGTTGAATGATTTTTACGTAACAAAAAAATAAAAAGTGACTTTTGGATAACAAACACAAAAGTTCAATGACCATGGATAAAATTATCTCGATAAGACCCTTATGTGTAGTTATTAAATGGCAACACCTCGAAAAATCTTACTTATGCTATTAAATGCTACAAAATTCTTAGTTTTATCTTATTAAAGTTAGAACAAGATTTTTAAAAAATTAAACATTCAACATGTGTTCTAAAAACTTTTTTTTTTTCACGAATCGGGATGACAAATGAATGAATCTCGTGGCAGAAAAACAACTTTCCCACTCACAATACCTCCATCGTATTTTGTTCTAGGTACCTGGAGGTCTTTCACCTTCTTTTACGAATCAACAAATTAAATTGGAACAACAAGAAAGGGAATATCTAATTTATGTATAATATTACTTAATAATAAATAAAATCTCCTATTTACCAAAAAAAAAAATCATTCGAATAAAAAAAAATTGATCTAGGTACCTGGAGGTCTTTCACCTTCTTTTCCAACTCAGTGATGTATTCAGTCTTCTTAATCCTAGACCTTTGCGCAGACAATCGATTTGATACAGTCCTAATAAAATTCACAAAAAAATCGTTATCTAATCTTAAACATATACAGCCTTATAAAAATCATAGGTAAAAAATATATATTATATTTATCATGAAAAACCAAGGCAAAAAAAAATAAAATTAATATAGATATAACCTTCTAAGCTTCTTCAAATCCACGTCAGAATCAACATTTCGACCAAGCTTGTTCAGTTCAAAATCAATTGCTTGATCAAGAGTTAGAGGAACCTTACGCCTATTAACTGATAATTCATCTTGATTATCAGTTGGACTTTTAAGAGACAAAGCTAATTCAGGCTCAGATCTTTTACGTTTATCTTCCATTTTCTTGAATTTACCTAAGGAACAATGATTTAATACAAACCCCAAAAAAAGAAAAATTAATTAGCAGAAAAAGAAAGAAAAATAATTAAGAAAGTGAATTATGAAGTGCATGAACTAGTAGTACCTCTAGAGTGATGTTTCTTTAGATTTTTGTGAGGTTATACATAGGCATTATAGTTGTCTATATATAGAGACTGAAAAATTGAATTTTCATTTTGGCAGCCTGTCATAAAAGTAAATAAGATTTCAGTAACAAAAATGAATCTTTTAAATTAAAAGGTAAAAATTATTTTTCTGATGTCTTTTATGCTTTAATTGCATGACTAAAATAAGCATATGAATAACTATTATGTGGTTACAAAAGAATTGAATTATTATAGATATATAGTTCGTGAAATCGTTGTAGAGAAGTATATAAATAAATAAAATTAAATTAACAACGAGAATAATATTTAATTTACATTTTTGAAACGTTGAAAAAAAGTTGGATTTAAAACGAAAAAATCTTCTTCCTCATAAGAACAATTTCAAAATTTTATAAAATACTACATCCAAAGATGTTTAATTTGTCTAAAACAAATTTTAACATACTAATTGTCCAATCATTTAAGGTGATTCAAAGCAACCATTTTATATACTCCTGTTTTTCCCCTTGTCTCGCGGTCACGCCTTAACCTCGTTAAAAAGAGAAGCCGCTGACTAGCTAATTGTGGGTAATATCTTTTATGTCGTTGACTATATGTTGTCCGTATCGTTTTTAATGCATCACATTTGTCGGGTTTGAATTCCATTTTCTAGAGCGATTGCCTTCTCTCGTTTGTAAAACGACCAACACTAATAAAACGAAATTATTATGATTATAAACATTAGTAATACTGACTACTAAAAATCACATAGATGGATTGTCTATGCCCAGAAAACAGATCTTCACAGATTAATTACCTACACTTTTGTTGCCTGAATTTTTTGGAGAAGTTTGTTACTATCATTTTTAAAAGAGAATCATACAGATAAATAGTGAAATATTATTCTCATTTTATTTGGAAAATTAATTAGACAAACAAAGCATGAATGCCAAATGTTGTAGATCTTAAGAGCTTATCTCTAATATGAATACATTTTTAGGATGGTATAGTTAGTGCGTGGGTCTGAAAATTGAGGCAAATAGTCTAATCTTCCAATTGTTTTTTTTTTCCTAATAAAATTTTTACTTTATTTGCCCAAAAAAATGATAATTTTTTGGCACTTAGTAAACTACGTGGCAAAAGAGGACAATGAAAACAAAGGTGTCACAAACGTTTTACTTCACGAAAAACACGCAGGTCTTCGGCAAAAGAGCATTAAAAAGCAAATTTTAGAAGCCTAAAGTAATGATGAGTAGTCAGTCAAAAGAAGTTAGTGAATTTTGGTGGAATAGATAAAAATAACTAAGAAATTAATTCATTGATTTGATATAACCACGGAATAAGTTTTTACCTACTATTATTACCACTTCTTAATAAGTTTCATTAACTATAGTAGGAGAGTAGTGAATATGCATTCTCATAATTGTTTACCGAGGGTTCGTTTGGCATGAGGGATAAGGGATAACTCATTTCGAGATTAAATTTAAAATGAGTTTATCCCGTATTTGATTGAAATAAAATCATGATATAACTAATTCTGGGTTATTCCGAAAAGTGTAGTATTTTTTAACTCTATGGGAGCGTGAGATAACTAATCTCAGGATCAATAATCCCAAGATAATTAATTATGGGATAACTTGTTTCCCAACTAAATGGATCGTTTGGTTTAAAAATAAGTTATGCTGAGATTAGTTATGTTGTGATTAATTATAATATTAGTTATCTTCGGAATAGTTATTCTGATATTATTTTTTATTGATTGTTTGGTCTGTTGTATTATTCTTGGGATTATCAATTTTATTGTTTTATCTTAGGATTACTATTCCACCCTCTGACAGATATAAATTATTTAAGTACTATTTTAATCCTAAAATAACTTATTTTAGTATTAATAACCAAAAAGGGATAACAACATCAACAACAACAACAACAACCCAGTATAATCTCACTTAGTGGGGTTTGGGGAAGGTAGTGTGTACGCAGACCTTACCCCTACCCTAGGGTAGAGAGGCTGTTTCCAAATAGACCCTCGGCATTTTTCCCTCCAAGAACTTCTCATCTTGCTCTTGGGTAGACTAGAACTCACAACCTCTTGGTTGGAAGTGGAGGTTGCTTACCATCAGAACAAAAATGGATAAAACGTTATAAAAAATTTCTCCTAAAATTATTTTTGTTTGACCATCGTAGCAAACGAGCCCCTAAAAGCATTAACACCATCTTAAGTCGAAGTCAAATTTATCTTAAATTGAACTCAGTTCAATGGGATGAGAGAATCTTTTATGAAAATCAAGCTCATTATGTCAAATGTCGGAAATATTTGAAACCTATATAGATCTTCCGCGTGTCATTAGTCTCTCGATTTACATAAAATCTACTGTACTTCTAATTTTACAATTTGTTTGGAGGGTTGTCATGTATTGTAATGTATCGTTTTGATATATATTATATTTGGATAAATTGTATTGTTTGTCGTGGTTTCATGATATGATACATTAACAATATGAAAAATAAACAAGCAATATTATAAAATAAAAGTAAGGTATGAGGTAGAATTATTATATAAAAGATATGGTAAATGATAAAATAAGATTATTTAATAATAAATAACGGCAAGATCAGAGAAAAAAATAAGGTAACGACGCGACCACTCCAAATCGATCGTTCCATAAAGTAACATTTTTTGTCGTTACGTAACAACGTATCTAACAATACGATACAATAAAATTTAAGTAACACTCAAAACAAACAATATATTTAAAGTAACAATATGCGGCAATATAACTTGTAACAACCATCCAAACAAGCTGTTATATACATCATAATTTTTTTCCTCTAATTTTGACACTTATCACTCGGTCATAAATAGTAAACTTACTATTCACTATAAGAAAGTCATAATACTCGTTAATATTATTACTTTCACTAGATTAAAATTACTCCTAGTTATCTGATAAATTTTAATTGGTGAAAAATAGGGTAAGTTTTATCGGATAAATGGTATCTGGTCAAAATGTTTTACTATGCTACAATTTTATTTTCTCATACGATAATTAGAGCCGTCAAAATGGGCTTGGCCAGTGAGGCCAGCCTAACCCAGCTCGCTACTTGAGTAAGGCTGGATTGAAATTTTTTAGCCCATTTAAAATTGAGGATTATAAGCCCGACCCAAGTCAGCCCGCTGACCCTTAAGGCTTGACCGATATGGGCCTGGGCCGTCCCGTGGGCCAAAAATTAATTAAATTCAAATTTAAATATTTAAAAAAAGTAAAAAGTATAAAAATATTAACTATAATCCCCATTTTCCAACCTTAGATTGCTCATTTACCTTTTCATATCAACTAGAATTTATATTTTTGACATGCATGTAGTATGACAAGATTAGTTTTTTTTTTGTTTAATTAACAACGAACTAGGAAAGTTTTAAGTGACCAATAATAATTTTTTCCAAAAGAAAATATCACTTTAAGTGGTCAATAATCAGTTTGGTTACTTTAATATATTATTAATTATTAAATTTCTCTTCAGTATAGAAAAAGGTCAAGTTTTAAAGGATTTTAAAAAGGTCAAGCAAATTTCATGGATTTTAAAAATTTTACAAACTATAATGATAACTTCAACAAATAATGTTAAACCTAAATTAAAAAAATATAACATATAAACTTATTGAAGCAATTCCTGAACCTAAGGAAAGTGAAAGAAAAGTACTAAAAAATATTCATGTAACGTTAAAAAGAGAAGACCTAGAGATATAGAGAATTTGCATTTCAATTATGAGATTCTTTGTCAAATATTAAGATTATTGTATACTCTAAATAAACAGAAGTCGTTCATATGGTTAAGAGATTATGTCACGAAAAAATATCTAAAGATTTGAAAAAATAGTTTTTTCTAAAAAGATTGAAGGGTTGGTCCACCTTAGCCTGCGGTCCTCTTAGGGCTGGACTGGGCTGGCCATTTTAACACTCACATAGATGGAGGGCCGCCGCCCTAGCCCACCAGATTTAAAAGTCTATGAGGCTTGGGCTGGGTTGGGCTAGGTTAGCCCGTTTTGACAGCTCTAACGATAATATGGCATGGCCTCAAAAGTGAAGAAAAAAAAAACTTTCGGGTGACTTTTGGCAAATAGACGGTCTTTATGGGGCTATGAAATTCAAAAATAGCCAGATTTACAAGTGATCATTCAAAAATAGCCACAGTTTCAAAAGTAATTGAAATTTAGCCATTTTTCATGAAAAGATAAATCTAAACAAAAACAATATTCAAAATCCAGAAAATACTCCAGCATAATATACTGGACTTCCAGTATAATATAGCGGTCCAGCATAATATGCTGGAAGTTTATACACAGGTGTTCCAATCTCCAGTATATTAAGCTGGAACTTTCCGCGTGTTGGAGTTCCAGCATAATATGCTGGAAGTTCATATATAGGTATACCGATCTCCAGTATATTATGCAGAAATTTTTCGTGTTGCAGTAAAATAGTAACTATTTTTCAATAACATTGCAAATGCTAGCTATTTTTGAATGTTCCGTCCAAAAACTGGCTAGCCCTTGCTATTTTTACGGTTAAGTTAACTTCCTTTTGGATCAGACAAAATATCAAATTAATTGGTCGGTCCAAATATAAAATTAATCGGTCCACACATATATATATATATATAATATATATTTTATTATCTGTTATTTTCTTGAACGACTAAAAATATACCTTTCTCTCTTAGATTTTGGAAGCAATTAAGCCGAATCAGGCTTGTTGTCAGGTAGTGAAGAACACTGCAGGCCTACTTTTCTCCATCGTCGCTCTATAATATGGCCGAAACCATGTCAATAAAAGGAGGGGTATTATTACTTTTAGTCGGTGTGAGAAATTATTTATATTTTAATAGCTAAAAAATATATAAAATTTATATAATTTTTATATATAACATAAATATATATACATATTAATATACAAATTTTATGTATTTTTTTACTATTCTTTTTACAGAAGCTATTCAGTGTCATTTTTCCAAGCCCAAAGTTAGCAAATAAAGCCTTTGGTTTGGCCCAAGTCGCTTGAAACCAGATAAATCGGCATTTCATTGGCGGAACACAGTAGCCGCCCGTAGAACTCCAAGTACCATATCTTCACCCGAACACCACAACTCCATCGTCCCTTCTGCCTCTGTCCCAAGCCATCAGATTAGAGAGATAGAGTGAGAAGATTAACAGAGAACTAATCAGGTACAAATCTTCCACACTGTTTTCTTTTGAAGTTCTAACGAACACAGTATTTCTTTCTGGATCTGTAAGTTTTGATTGTTTTAATTGGTGTTCTGTTTTAATCGCCAATTTGATGAGACCTTATTTTAAACGAGATTTTGATCAGAATATTGTATTGAAATAGGCCCGAATAGAGCAGAAGTACGCACTCTGAAGTCTGAATAGATTAGTTTGGAATTAAGTCGTAATTGATTGATTGATGGATATGCTTTGATCATGGTTGAGGTCCACTGTAATATTTCTAAATTGACCCGAATTAAATACAGCTGATGGGATTAAGTATACTCCATAGAAAATAACATGCACGTAACTTTGTGCCGGAGCTGTGCTTTGTTACTTACATTACTTGGATTGTTCGTTGGTATCATTAGAGCTCTTCCACATTTAGGTGTTGGTTTCTCTTAAGCATGAATCTTTTTTTTTTGGGGGGTCAAGATTGTGTTTTTATTTCTCATATAGTATGTATATGTAAAAATCAAGAAGATGACATAGCCAGCTCAATTTGGATAACTGTTTTCCCTTTTGACATACCAATTTGTATTATTTTTACTCAGTGTTAAAAATAGCGTGAAGCGAGCAAAAGCGACAACCCCTATTTCACAAAAAGCGAGAAGCGAAGCGCCCGCTTTTTTTAAGTGAAGCGAATTTTAAAAAAAATTAAAATAAATACGGCATAGACATGTAATTGTAAGCAAATGTTCAATACTTTAATTAATTGGGCAGAAATTGGGCAGAAACTAGAAAAATTTGGCAGAAATTTCTGAAAAAAATTCGTCAGCATTTCGCTGCTTTTTGGACGTTTAGAAAGAAAAAGAATAAGAAGTCAAGAAGAAGAAGAAGAAGAAGACTGAAAATCAAAAGTGCAGAAGCATAACATACCTGTACTGTTGAAGAAGAAGAAGAAGAAGAACAACCCTAGTAGATGCTTTGAGATTATTTCAGAAATCAGAAGTTGATGAAGAAGAAATCGCTGCTGTTGAAGAAGCAGACAGTGTTTACGGTTTAGAAACCTCGTTTTTTAATAAAATAGGGCTTGGGTTAATTTTAAAAATAGAAGCGGACGCTTCTAACGCTTCTTCTTGCTTCGCTGCGCTTTTTTAATCACTGTTTTTACTTTTATATGAAGTTCTCCGATTCTCTTCTGAATTCTGAATTGGTTGCAGGGTTTTGTTCGTCTGCGGATCTTTTGGTGTTAGTGTTTACTGCACATTGTATTTCTGAGGCAAGACTCATGTCCGCGCCAAATGAGGATAATATCTCTAATCCGCAGGTAATACGCATCTTAAAGTGATAATATTAGAAACACATATTTATTGATTATCGTTGTTGCTTTGCTGCTATAAAGAATTGTATGTGTCAGTTGTATAGTGAATGCTAACATTTTGATTCTATTTGTACTTCCTTCATGTGGTCAATGCATAATATTATGTCTACTTTACTCCAGCCAAGTTTCTGCATGTTGTCTGTTTATGCCTCTTCTTTCCCTTGAAGACCTAGGTCTTTTCCAATGTCTTCTACATTATTAGTAACTTTAACTTATATTATCTGCAAAAGAGAAGCAACTACATTAAATATTTTCCATGTAAGCGGTGGGGTTTTTTTTTT